GGTATTCAGCAAAAGTTTTGCTCCATGGGAGGATCGAACTCCCGACCTCGGCATTTCTCAGTCTTATAAGTACCACGCGCTAACCAGCTGCGCCAATGGAGCACGAGTGAAAATCGGAGAAATTCGAACCGCAGTCCTTTGAGCTTGAAATGGCGTTCTTCGTGATACTCGAACCTTTAACCTCCCATCCAGTCGATATTTGTCAATTTCAAGTCATGCAGAGGTTTGTGGTATTCAGCAAAAGTTTTGCTCCATGGGAGGATCGAACTCCCGACCTCGGCATTTCTCAGTCTTATAAGTACCACGCGCTAACCAGCTGCGCCAATGGAGCACGAGTGAAAATCGGAGAAATTCGAACCGCAGTCCTTTGAGCTTGAAATGGCGTTCTTTGTGATACTCGAACCTTTAACCTCCCATCCAGTCGATATTTGTCAATTTCAAGTCATGCAGAGGTTTGTGGTATTCAGCAAAAGTTTTGCTCCATGGGAGGATCGAACTCCCGACCTCGGCATTTCTCAGTCTTATAAGTACCACGCGCTAACCAGCTGCGCCAATGGAGCACGAGTGAAAGTCGGAGAAATTCGAACCGCAGTCCTTTGAGCTTGAAATGGCGTTCTTTGTGATACTCGAACCTTTAACCTCCCATCCAGTCGATATTTGTCAATTTCAAGTCATGCAGAGGTTTGTGGTATTCAGCAAAAGTTTTGCTCCATGGGAGGATCGAACTCCCGACCTCGGCATTTCTCAGTCTTATAAGTACCACGCGCTAACCAGCTGCGCCAATGGAGCACGAGTGAAAATCGGAGAAATTCGAACCGCAGTCCTTTGAGCTTGAAATGGCGTTCTTTGTGATACTCGAACCTTTAACCTCCCATCCAGTCGATATTTGTCAATTTCAAGTCATGCAGAGGTTTGTGGTATTCAGCAAAATTTTGCTCCATGGGAGGATCGAACTCCCGACCTCGGCATTTCTCAGTCTTATAAGTACCACGCGCTAACCAGCTGCGCCAATGGAGCACAAGTGAAAATCGGAGAAATTCGAACCGCAGTCCTTTGAGCTTGAAATGGCGTTCTTTGTGGTACTCGAACCTTTAACCTCCCATCCAGTCGATATTTGTCAATTTCAAGTCATGCAGAGATTTGTGGTATTCAGCAAAAGTTTTGCTCCATGGGAGGATCGAACTCCCGACCTCGGCATTTCTCAGTCTTATAAGTACCACGCGCTAACCAGCTGCGCCAATGGAGCACGAGTGAAAATCGGAGAAATTCGAACCGCAGTCCTTTAAGCTTGAAATGGCGTTCTTTGTGATACTCGAACCTTTAACCTCCCATCCAGTCGATATTTGTCAATTTCAAGTCATGCAGAGATTTGTGGTATTCAGCATAAGTTTTGCTCCATGGGAGGATCGAACTCCCGACCTCGGCATTTCTCAGTCTTATAAGTACCACGCGCTAACCAGCTGCGCCAATGGAGCACGAGTGAAAATCGGAGAAATTCGAACCGCAGTCCTTTGAGCTTGAAATGGCGTTCTTTGTGATACTCGAACCTTTAACCTCCCATCCAGTCGATATTTGTCAATTTCAAGTCATGCAGAGGTTTGCGGTATTCAGCAAAAGTTTTGCTCCATGGGAGGATCGAACTCCCGACCTCGGCATTTCTCAGTCTTATAAGTACCACGCGCTAACCAGCTGCGCCAATGGAGCACGAGTGAAAATCGGAGAAATTCGAACCGCAGTCCTTTGAGCTTGAAATGGCGTTCTTCGTGATACTCGAACCTTTAACCTCCCATCCAGTCGATATTTGTCAATTTCAAGTCATGCAGAGGTTTGTGGTATTCAGCAAAAGTTTTGCTCCATGGGAGGATCGAACTCCCGACCTCGGCATTTCTCAGTCTTATAAGTACCACGCGCTAACCAGCTGCGCCAATGGAGCACGAGTGAAAATCGGAGAAATTCGAACCGCAGTCCTTTGAGCTTGAAATGGCGTTCTTCGTGATACTCGAACCTTTAACCTCCCATCCAGTCGATATTTGTCAATTTCAAGTCATGCAGAGGTTTGTGGTATTCAGCAAAAGTTTTGCTCCATGGGAGGATCGAACTCCCGACCTCGGCATTTCTCAGTCTTATAAGTACCACGCGCTAACCAGCTGCGCCAATGGAGCACGAGTGAAAATCGGAGAAATTCGAACCGCAGTCCTTTGAGCTTGAAATGGCGTTCTTTGTGATACTCGAACCTTTAACCTCCCATCCAGTCGATATTTGTCAATTTCAAGTCATGCAGAGGTTTGTGGTATTCAGCAAAAGTTTTGCTCCATGGGAGGATCGAACTCCCGACCTCGGCATTTCTCAGTCTTATAAGTACCACGCGCTAACCAGCTGCGCCAATGGAGCACGAGTGAAAGTCGGAGAAATTCGAACCGCAGTCCTTTGAGCTTGAAATGGCGTTCTTTGTGATACTCGAACCTTTAACCTCCCATCCAGTCGATATTTGTCAATTTCAAGTCATGCAGAGGTTTGTGGTATTCAGCAAAAGTTTTGCTCCATGGGAGGATCGAACTCCCGACCTCGGCATTTCTCAGTCTTATAAGTACCACGCGCTAACCAGCTGCGCCAATGGAGCACGAGTGAAAATCGGAGAAATTCGAACCGCAGTCCTTTGAGCTTGAAATGGCGTTCTTTGTGATACTCGAACCTTTAACCTCCCATCCAGTCGATATTTGTCAATTTCAAGTCATGCAGAGGTTTGTGGTATTCAGCAAAATTTTGCTCCATGGGAGGATCGAACTCCCGACCTCGGCATTTCTCAGTCTTATAAGTACCACGCGCTAACCAGCTGCGCCAATGGAGCACAAGTGAAAATCGGAGAAATTCGAACCGCAGTCCTTTGAGCTTGAAATGGCGTTCTTTGTGGTACTCGAACCTTTAACCTCCCATCCAGTCGATATTTGTCAATTTCAAGTCATGCAGAGATTTGTGGTATTCAGCAAAAGTTTTGCTCCATGGGAGGATCGAACTCCCGACCTCGGCATTTCTCAGTCTTATAAGTACCACGCGCTAACCAGCTGCGCCAATGGAGCACGAGTGAAAATCGGAGAAATTCGAACCGCAGTCCTTTAAGCTTGAAATGGCGTTCTTTGTGATACTCGAACCTTTAACCTCCCATCCAGTCGATATTTGTCAATTTCAAGTCATGCAGAGATTTGTGGTATTCAGCATAAGTTTTGCTCCATGGGAGGATCGAACTCCCGACCTCGGCATTTCTCAGTCTTATAAGTACCACGCGCTAACCAGCTGCGCCAATGGAGCACGAGTGAAAATCGGAGAAATTCGAACCGCAGTCCTTTGAGCTTGAAATGGCGTTCTTTGTGATACTCGAACCTTTAACCTCCCATCCAGTCGATATTTGTCAATTTCAAGTCATGCAGAGGTTTGCGGTATTCAGCAAAAGTTTTGCTCCATGGGAGGATCGAACTCCCGACCTCGGCATTTCTCAGTCTTATAAGTACCACGCGCTAACCAGCTGCGCCAATGGAGCACAAGTGAAAATCGGAGAAATTCGAACCGCGTTCCTTTGAGCTTGAAATGGCGTTCTTTGTGGTCCTCGAACCTTTAACCTCCCATCCAGTCGATATTTGTCAATTTCAAGTCATGCAGAGATTTGTGGTATTCAGCAAAAGTTTTGCTCCATGGGAGGATCGAACTCCCGACCTCGGCATTTCTCAGTCTTATAAGTACCACGCGCTAACCAGCTGCGCCAATGGAGCACGAGTGAAAATCGGAGAAATTCGAACCGCAGTCCTTTGAGCTTGAAATGGCGTTCTTTGTGGTACTCGAACCTTTAACCTCCCATCCAGTCGATATTTGTCAATTTCAAGTCATGCAGAGATTTGTGGTATTCAGCAAAAGTTTTGCTCCATGGGAGGATTGAACTCCCGACCTCGGCATTTCTCAGTCTTATAAGTACCACGCGCTAACCAGCTGCGCCAATGGAGCACGAGTGAAAATCGGAGAAATTCGAACCGCAGTCCTTTAAGCTTGAAATGGCGTTCTTTGTGATACTCGAACCTTTAACCTCCCATCCAGTCGATATTTGTCAATTTCAAGTCATGCAGAGATTTGTGGTATTCAGCAAAAGTTTTGCTCCATGGGAGGATCGAACTCCCGACCTCGGCATTTCTCAGTCTTATAAGTACCACGCGCTAACCAGCTGCGCCAATGGAGCACGAGTGAAAGTCGGAGAAATTCGAACCGCAGTCCTTTGAGCTTGAAATGGCGTTCTTTGTGATACTCGAACCTTTAACCTCCCATCCAGTCGATATTTGTCAATTTCAAGTCATGCAGAGGTTTGTGGTATTCAGCAAAAGTTTTGCTCCATGGGAGGATCGAACTCCCGACCTCGGCATTTCTCAGTCTTATAAGTACCACGCGCTAACCAGCTGCGCCAATGGAGCACGAGTGAAAATCGGAGAAATTCGAACCGCAGTCCTTTGAGCTTGAAATGGCGTTCTTTGTGGTACTCGAACCTTTAACCTCCATTTCCAACCTGTATGGTTAACTTGAAGGCAGCGTCCACCCAAAACGGTGTCGGTGAGATTCTGATGCGTAGCGGGACCTGCAGTTGTATAATTGCTCAACTCGTCCTGCTAAAAGTTGCTTCCGAAGCAAGAAAATTGCTTTGAAAATCTCTTCGGATGACCGATTCTCCATGTTGACTCCTCCCCTTTGAGTTAGGTGACGTACGTCCCGCCCATCCGCGCATCCAACCAACCACCTTTCCGGACAGCCCGCCCTGCGGATTCCTTGGAAATGATTGGGTTTTCGCAAAATCCCAAGTTGGGACTTCCACGTTTTTGTAGTCCCGCGAACGTGAAGTGCGGAATTTTTGGGCGGTGACTTTGAGCTTCAAATGACGTCCTTGAAGTATGCTAATTTAACCTCTCTCCCAGTCAGTACTTGTCTGCATCTCATGCAGAAGTGTTCGCAATTATTATTCGTTTCAGGACACAACCGATCTCGTATATATTGGTCAACGGAAAAGGGTTGAGCTCGTTCGATGGTGTAGTGTGCTCTCATCCAGAGGCCGCGCCGAAAGGATAGATATAATAGCAAGGTACGTTTTAGACAGTTGCAGTTGTTCTCTAGCAACTAATGTTGATTCATTCAGAATAATATTTCCGATCGCCTTTATTATGTTCAATTTCGCTTACTGGAGTATATACTTGGACAACGGTGACAACTAGACGACGATTCTTCGCTTGTGTGCGAATTCTTCGTGCTTTCTCGACTGAATTTATCTTGAATGAAGATTGTTTTAATTGTTGGTGTAAAGTCTGCTACATTTTTGTTACAAAGCGATTGGGTCCGAGTGGCTTTCGCACAAGATTACTGCAAAATATTCCTATATCTAGGTTAATTTATGGGCTTTTTCTCAATAATGTCGGGCAATCGGCTTACGAGTAATAATCTTAATTCATGTGTACCCTCAATTTATTCATCGTACTTAGCCTGGGCTGTTTGAACTTGCTTTGCATAATCAAAATTCCCCTATTTGACTAATTCCTCCTTTCCCCTATTTGAATAATTCCTCCTATGTGCAGAGACTGCCTAATAATTTATCACCCTTAAAATGAAAAAGAGCATCCAGGCAACCACAGATAGAGAATGTGCGCACCATAGGGCAATTTTCAGAACTTTCTCAGAAAATTGCTTTCGTTCGTTCACGAAGGGCTATTACCTCTTTGTGGGCTTTGTTTTATAGCTGTAATATTTTATTTTGCATCGAAACTAGCATGCTGCGTATCTGGCTCTCCAAGCTCGCCATTCGAGATGTTCGCCTACGATTATAAAATTCCGATTTATCTGATTCAACACTTATTTGTTCCACATGATGTTTTGCCATTCTTTATTCCTCTTCAGTGAGACGGCTTTTTGAGAACTGAAACGGTTTTCCATCGTCATAATAATAGCTTCACAGCTAGGCGGCCCATTTTGGCAGCCATTTTACCCCGCCCACGATTTATGCTCAAGAGAAATTGCATATCGCGTCCTCATTTGCTCCCTTTCATAATGCGATCTGCGACATTCGACATTTGCTATTGACTCAATACCTCATTAATAGCCTCGGTCTAAAACACTGGTAGATGTATTCTAAAACTTATTATCCCATATGTAGTAAGGAGGCAGTAAATATCGGGTTCAAAGAATTTTTCATAGAAACTAAGTGCGTACTTCTCTTATAAATCTTGGTTTTCACTGTTTTCTGCATTGATAACAGTGCTACTGTGAAAAAGTGTTTGATTTAAAGTGAAATAGTTTTGTCATGGCATTCGCAGTCTTGGATATTGAAACAGAACAAAGCATTTACTGTCAGCGAAGGCGACAAGTTCAAATTCATTTTCATAAGAAAACAAAATTCAGACTTGTGTACTTTGTTTCATTTTCTTGCTTTCATTCATATCACATGTTAGGCACCTTTCTCAACCATATTTCGGGCTTTTTCATGCGCATACGTAGATATCTAATTTTATTGTGTAAAGGTTTCGGTGAACACAAGATAGCCTGAATGTCGACAATGTACATAAACATTACAGCTCAAAAGCTATACGTAAGGATTGAAAAACCACCAGTAAGCGGTGGCTTAAAGAATTGTGGATAATCTGGTGACGTACTTTTCAAGGCTTTGTCTGAAAGTGGTAAGCTGTTGATAATAACCAAGCAACGACTAACAAGGGAAGTGTCAGAAGTCTAAGTGGCCTTTTCGCATGTGATAGGTAAATTCCGAAGCAGCGTGAAACGCTGGTTTCAAAACATCCATTTTTGGCTGCAGAACATGTCTGGGTCGCGAGTCTTTTGTTATTTGTTGTCTTAGTCTTTTGTTTTTTGTTGTTATCTTTTTTGTTATCCTATACATTCAGTGATTTTACTTTGACATTGGTGGGTAGTAAACTTGCCGAAACTCAAAGTTATAACTCTGAGCTATCTCTGAGTTATCTCCGAGCTAACGCCTATCCTTAGTAGGAAAAAATAGTTCACACACCAGTAGGGAAAAATAGTTCAAACCGTTTGCACAAGAAACTCGCCGTCAAACGCACAGCTGAGATCCGCGATGACTCCGAGTTGCCAGTTCCAATCTACTGTGGAACTCAGAGACGCTCTAAGTTGGTCAGAGAAAGATAAATAGTGCACAAAGGAAGAGGAGCGGCTGAAAAGTCCTCTAGGGTAGCTTGTAGTTTCAAAAAGTATGATGGGATCGTGGTCCGCTTTCACTCACAAAATTTTGAAATATCCTAAAACCTTGGCCCAGGGACTTCTTCGACGCGCTGACCACGAATATGATACTCATTTTCTGCCTCCAGGCCATAGGTGCGATAGGGGGAGCCGGGCTCTCCCCAGGTGAAGGGGGTCTCGGCTGTTCCCGACCTTCCAGAGTGAAGGGGGTGAGTCTAGGAGGGGGGGGGGGAGGGAGGAAGAGAGAAAAGAAATAAGCGTGGTATGAAGAGCTCTAATTTGCACCTTATTTAGGCACAAATTGAAAAAAATTAAAAATTTTGAAAGAAATTAAAAATTTTGAAAAATTGACTTTATGAAGATCTGTGCTCCTGTTTCATCGCATAAACAAAAATCAAAAGCAATAAGGTTTATCCCAAAAGATGTACAAGTTAGGAACAACTTCAATTCCTGCACATCATCATCAACAATATTACTATCGCTAACGTTAGAGGCAACAAGTTCGCTGCCTGAAAAATCTTCTTCTTCCTCCGAAAGGTCGTCGGAATAGAAGTAGAATTGCGTGCAAAAGCGTTCTGAGTCGAAATTGGATTTGAAACTTTCTTCTTTTGCTAAGCGCTTTTGTGATTTTTTTCCTGGCCCTCTGGTAGCACCAGGAAAGTCAGCAGGTAGGTGACCAGTTTCTTCATACCATCTTTTAGGATAATTTAAAAAGTCATAGGATGACAGCCTGTCTGGACCACTTATAGCAATCCTTTAAATGAAGTTTTTAGATAACAATATGTTCAGTAGAAGGTTGACAAAATCTCAAGTAATTGCTTAGATGCTCCACCGTTGTACGAGTTCTGCTTGCGTTCTGATAACAGAGTAGATAGAAAATCCCCTCTCCACCTCTGCCGTGCTAGTCGGAATGGGAACTAGCTTTGCTGGTAAGCCCATCAGATTTTTTTGGTAAGTAATGGGGAAAGAGCCAGATCGCATATGCTTTCGCAACACGAGAAGGAAATAGTGCATACTTTTTTGGGCCTTGTCGAACTCTGGCTTCACCTCCTCCGGCATACGTCCTGTTAACTGATGAGAAAGCTGCTCAACTTCTTCTTCAACAGCATCTGCGGAATAGCCGAAAAAACTAGATACTATGCTGCGCGTTGGTTTTCTTTCAATATCATAGGTCATAATGCCACAAGGCGAATAACTTTCAAAAGCATAAAGCACAGAGTTGGGTTTGCACTCCAGTCGGGATCTAAGAGCAGTAGCTATGCTTTGTACTAACCCCTTCCCTTTTGCATATCCATGTTTGTGAATTTAGCAGCTTTGAAATCTTCAGCAACGTGAAGATCAGCAATGGACTTCCTGGACATTCTCATTGAAACTAGGCAATCTGCTTGGATTCCTTATGTAGGAAATCAGAGAGTTTCGTTCAATTGTCAACTCTGTATCAATGTCGACAACATTTTCGTCGGCGTAAGATTCTCCTTCTGCCTCCCTGTTGAACTGGAACACATGCGAGTCATCTGCGATTTTGTGAAATATTCTGCCTGCCGTTTCCTCTTCAAACTGCCAACCTTTCCAAAACATTGAGGGATATTTTAATAACATGTTATTCTTCTGAATGTCTTAAAGTTTTTGATTCATTGAAACCAACCATTCTCTACAAATTAGGTAAGGTGAGTCTAGAGCGTTTTCACGAAAGTGACCTTCTTCACTAGGTTTGCAGAGTATAGATTCCAAAAATGGGCGGGGTTTTGTGTGAAGGTGTGGAAATTCACCAATCTCCCATAGTTTTTCGAGTGTGTGCTAATAATGATGGCATAACTGTCAATCAAAAGCGCATTTCTAACCAAAAGAACATAAACATACAACAACGATAAGCAATAGAAAAATAGATAAATAAATAGAAAAATAGATGCGTTAGCTCACGTTCCCGTTAGTGCTGATAACGATGTCAATCCATAGCACATTTTTACTATTAACTTGCTCCACCTCGCTCTTATTGGGTCTTCCCGAAAGTTTTTGCGCACGATTTTCAAAAATTCATAACTTCTGATTTTTCCAACCAATTTTACTGCTTTCACCTTCATGTGAAAGGGTAAGTCATTTTCTTTATAATGACATTTCAGTGCTTAGTAAAGATCATCTGTTGCATAGATAAGAGCGATAGAAGAAAAATGGTCAAAATTTGAATTTTCTGTGTAGGGTCATAAAAAATCGGAGACTTGCAACAAAAATCGGAGCAGTCAGTATTGTAGGTTCTTTTTCCAGCTCTTTCTGAAAGCGCAAAATTTGCGCCGATTGAGCGTCTCTATGAAAAGTTATGATTTCCCTGAAAAATGCCAAAATAAACCACATTCGCCCTTTTGTATTGCTTGCTCGAAAATCATAACTTTTCATAGAGACCCTCAATCAGCGCAAACTTTGCGCTGTTAGAAAGAGCTGGTGAAGGAACCTACAATACTTGACTGCTCCGATTTTTATTGCAAGTTTCCGATTTTCTATGACCTTACACGAAAAATTCAAATTTTGACCAATATTCTTCTATCCCTCTTATCCATGCAGCAGATGATCATTAGTAAGCACTGAGATGTCATTATAAAGAGCATGACTTACCCTTTCACATAAAAGTGAAAGCAGTCAAATCGGTTAGAAAAATCAAAAGCTATGAATTTTTGAAAATCGTGCGCAAGAGCTTTCGGGACAACCTATACAATGTGTTGGCTTTTATGGGTCACCGGAGCAAATGATTTTTAGAGCCGGGAAGCAAAGAAGCCTTAACATGCTGTATACCATTCGAAAGCTGAGATCATGGAGAATCGACATAGACCGTCGACTTTCTTCTAGGTCTTCTGTGCCGCGAGATATGAGGGATTTTATGTGCTTCAAAAATTAACTGATTTTGTGTCCTCACTTTCTGCTCTCCGAATGAATGCTACGAGAAAGTCGACGGTCTACATTTGTGAATGAAGACTTGCTCTTTAACACAGATAGATAATCAGCAGTGATTATGTCTTCATTTGGCAGAAATCTGCTGTTGAAAATGACCATGTTTTCAGATAAAATGCGGTGTATCTCTCGATAGAGGGGGGCTAGAAAGAAGTCGACGGTCCAGATCGAATCCTCTTTTCCTGAGCTTTCGAATGGTACAGAAGTTGCTGGGCGAAAAAACTAACCAGTTTTCAAAAATGGGGTGGAGATATTTACTACTAGCTTGCTCCAACCCAGCTCCACCAATGTATTGGCTTTTATCGGTTACCGGAGCAAATGATTTTTAGAACCGGGAAGCAAAGAAGCCTTAACATGCTGTACACCATTCGAAAGCTGAGATCATGGAGAATCGACGTAGACCGTCGACTTTCTTCTAGGTCTTCTGTGCCGCGAGATATGAGGGATTTTATGTGCTTCAAAAATTAACTGATTTTGTGTCCTCACTTTCTGCTCTCCGAATGAATGCTACGAGAAAGTCGACGGTCTACATTTGTGAATGAAGACTTGCTCTTTAACACAGATAGATAATCAGCAGTGATTATGTCTTCATTTGGCAGAAATCTGCTGTTGAAAATGACCATGTTTTCAGATAAAATGCGGTGTATCTCTCGATAGAGGGGCGCTAGAAAGAAGTCGACGGTCCAGATCGAATCCTCTTTTCCTGAGCTTTCGAATGGTATATAGGTTGCTGGGCGAAAAAACTAACCAGTTTTCAAAAATGGGGTGGAGATATTTACTACTAGCTTGCTCCAACCCAGCTCCACCAATGTATTGGCTTTTATCGGTTACCGGAGCAAATGATTTTTAGAACCGGGAAGCAAAGAAGCCTTAACATGCTGTATACCATTCGAAAGCTGAGATCATGGAGAATCGACGTAGACCGTCGACTTTCTTCTAGGTCTTCTGTGCCGCGAGATATGAGGGATTTTATGTTCTCCAAAAACCAACTGATTTTTTGTCCTCACTTTCTGCTCTGCAAATAAACCGAGGATAAATAAATAATATAAATAAATATAAATAACGTTTCTTTTGTAAATTTATGAGTGTACTTGTTGCTTGAGGTACTTAGCCTGCAAAACCTTTTAACGACGATTTTTATCATATTCTCAGAGTACAATCCCAATCTCGGCCCAGGTGAAGGGGGTCATCGGGAGGTTGGCCTCAAAGTGAAGGGGGTAAGATCCATCACTCCCCCTATCGCAACTATGCTCCAGGCCTGATGGCCGAGTTAAGGTGGTATACGGTAGTAGGAAGAAACCCACGACTGAAAAAGAACTTGGGTCACTGGGGTTATTCGGTGCGCTAATCATGAATATAGTATTCATTCCATGCAAGTGGACTCTGACGAGGTTACGTTAGGTTTACAGTAGGTGAGCCAAAGTGGCAGAATTAGTTGAAACTTGGTACACTGGGGCCACTCAGAGCGCAGATCACGGGCAGTCCATTTGCTACGGTGTCATTTAGAGCGATTACGATAGGTATATGGTAAGTGGGACGAGATCGCACGATTGGGTAAAATCTGGTCCGGTAGGGTTAGTTAGCGTGTTGATAAGGGCAAACTTTGCCCGGAGTATTTACTATGTGCCCAAATACGAATAGTTCATCCTTATGGTTGCATATGCCATCGGTATTCGCTATTTTTTGAAGCTTTCGTCTGCGCGAAAGAACGATGCATGCGATAAAAAACCGTTTCTCGATAGAAAAGCTTTGCGTCATTGCAGTGAGTACATTAAGGCAAAGCAACCTCAAATTCTGAGGGCGCGTCATGGCCTAGAGGTTCAGTGATAAGATCATTGCGCTAGACCGAACAGGCTCCAATTTAAACGTCAATTTTGCATATCGTATGTAACAGTTTATCAAAGCAAATTGAAAGTCCGAGCTTGAGAGGTGAAACTCGGAACTTGAAAAGCGGAACTTGTTTTAATAAATAAAACTCCGAGTTTCAAGAACGAAATTTGGAGTTATCCTTGAGTTAGCGCGGTGCTTTAAGCTCGGTCCTAGCTCGGTAGATGCATTCCATAAAAAAGGTGCAGGTTTGATACCAAATTGAAATCTTGTATTGTATTTGCAAACTATGAAAAACTGAATGTCTGAAGGGTTTTCTCTTTTTATGGAGCTAGTTGAGTGATATTGCAACTTCTCGCATGTTAAAGGCAGAGCTTCCACGTCTTCTTTTCTAACCAGAAGGTATTAGCTGCTAAACGAATACGCGACGCTATTTGACTTCTAATCATTCCAAAACTCAATGCATGAGCGATGTTCCGGTAGAACAGCTTTTGCAGTCGTGATAAGCGTGGTTCATTATTGAAGGTGCGTCAAGCGAGGTAAAGTACAGGATATGTGTAGCAGGATTTCCAGCAGGCGTCGTGCGAGGAGCAATCAGCATGGCAACACGTTTTTCGTGCTGTAAGGCTTTCACGATGAAAGGTTTCTGAGGCGCTCCGTCTCCTATCTGTCCACATTTAGCCTCGCCAGACTCATTTGGACCAAAAAACAAAATCATATATTGTTACTTATCAAATACCGAGTTACTTGTGCTGCTTATGGGTTTTTGATGAGAAGGTTCGACAATGAAAGCTCTCTAATTTTGTATGTGATCACATGTCAGGGTTTTTACATTATCGACTGTTTTTTTCGCTCTGTATATGCCATTCCAGAACATCGCGTGTGCTCTGCATATTAGCTACTCACCACCTTCCAGTTGATCCTTGCGTCATCCCAGATACCTTCTACATTCCACTCTCGATGACGGAAGGTAGTCTGCGACGAATATCCTCCAAAAAGAAGGTAATTATACACTCTTTACTATTTTGCAAAGCTGTGTCAAGATAATCGTATCAAAAGATTACGAATGTTTACTTGAAAATGCACTTTTCCAATGGGAACTGATATTGCAATTCTTGTGCTGTGACGATCAACTTTAAGCATACTCGAAAATGACCTTCTTGCACTATTTATATAGTACAATTTATTATGAACAAAAACCAAACTTGAAAATATTGAAAATGAAGGGTGCTTCTCCGTATAGACTACAATCAGCAAATGACAAGTTGTAAGAAGGTCATAGACCCAAACAATAGTATAACTCAAAGTTAAGGCCTTTCAGCATTTTTTGTGATTCAAAAGTCATAAACAAATTGTGCGTTTGTTTTCATCAACTTTCATGCCGCAATTTGGTTACAATAATTTTCGCTCTAAAAAAAGAAAAAAGAGAAAATCATTAGGTTGGCCCAAAAGCCCTGCCGTTTCATTTTCAAAATTTTGTCACTTTTAGCTGCCGCAATCAATTAGCTTCTTTGTGACTTTATTAGAGAGAAGAAGCCTTTATTTTTGCAAGCATGTTTTGTTGAGCTTCTAATATACTCTTATTGCAGAGATAAAGATGGAAGGAGAAGACCTTTTGGTTTTGTTCATTAAGTTAGGTCGCCAAAAAATTGAAACGCTGCAGAAAGTCTGAAATCGTCAATAAATACTTTTTACGACTCCATCTTAACAAATGAAAAAATTTGTGCTGTTTAGACGTCTTTACAAAAACACGGTTTTCGAGAGAAGTACAAAGTGATCCATCTTGTTGTTTTCTGTTGTCTCGAGATTTATAACTTTTCATAGATACGTCCAAACAGCACAAACTATTTCGGTTGCAAAAGGTAAGCTGTAAAACTTATGTACTGACGATTCCAGATTTTTCTGCAGGTTCCAGATTTCTGACGGCTTAACTTAGAATGATCAAAACATAAGTGATCTTCTTTTTCGTTTTATCTCTGCAATAAGTATTCAAGTAGAAGCTCTCTGAGAGATATCTACAAAATGAAAGACTTTTCTTTCTAATAGAATCAGATAGAAGCAAATCCGTGCAATTAGAAGAAAGCTAAAAGTTTTCAAAACCAAATTGACAAAGCTTTTATGACAGCTTGATATTTACGAATTTTGAAAGATCACGCATACACCAGTCTAGGTAAGTTCCCTAGCTGAAGAATGCACGTCATCACCGAGATAGCGGGTTGCAATTTGCTTCGTAATGGATTTTCTTTCGTGCACCACATTCCATATTTCATGGTGGTTGTAAAAAATGCTCTTAATCTCGACATGCCAACTTTTTTGGATATTCTGCAACGAAAGCTGAGATTCAATCAAGCGTGTATGATTCTGCTTTTTTTTTCGAAGTGGATTGGCAGATTTAGCGAAGAAACGCCTTGTACTAGTCATCTACATGCTTTTTCGACCTACTCTTAATTAATCAAAGATTTGCTCTGATCGGAAGTTCTTACGAGTAATTAATTTTCGAATATTCCTCTCCGCCATTTTGATTTCGTTCTAATGAAATTTGTATCTATTCGAAAAAAATAGAACATTCAATGGGTATAGCAAAAAATATGAGATACGCATATATTCTTGAAACATATGAAAAATTGCCTCCATTTTTTGATCAAAGCTTAAACCCATTAGATACCCTAAACCAATCCAAAAAAAAATGCAAGTTTATTAAATTATGCGCATATAACCTAAGTGTGCATAATTAGATGGACACTACTGCGAAACATACGCATAAGCCTTTCTCTCGAAAGAGCCAGAATGTTGGTGTATTCCAGGTTAAATTTGTCGCTTCACTAAAGAAGAGATCCTCGTCAACGGGAGCGATCCGCAGCTCTAATGAAAGGGAATCAGTGAGTTAGTAATGACATGTGTAAAATGGCCCGAAAGTTCCATGCAAAATCAGGTAAGATCGAAGAGCACAAGTAGCATAGCTTGATTAACAAGGTAGCATTGGTGCTCAATGGCATGTCCGAGCAAAATGTGATTTACAGGGTTCTGGTCCTACGCCGAACAGACCCTTTGGTTGGGACAGTTCCAAAACATTATGCCCAGAATCCATAAACTGTCGGAAATACAGTCTATAAAGATTTGAGAGTGGTGTGAATTTGGTTCCATGCACCATCGGTTGTAAGGCAAATTGTAGTCCAAGTGCAGAACATGTATTCGAAGGCAGAATTCAATCCTAGAATTTGAGTGTAGGCAAACCTGCTGTTGTGGTTGGCTTGAAGATGCTGCGTCCGAAATTAAACTCAATTCCCAAGCATGCCGAGAATCGTACATCACGATAGTGAACTCTAAAGACCAATCACAAGCTACATTCCTTCACCCCCACATTTATGAAAGGGACTGCCTGTGCGGCATTGCTCTGGAGCGATTTCGCTCCAAAGGTATTTTTAGCCACAGGACTAGGCAATTACTAGCTTAGCCAGTACCGCGCTATTCCACTTTATACAACACAAAAATCCAAAATCACCGATTAATTCGCTAAAAAATCGCCTAAGGGGTGATTTGACCCCCCCCCTCCCCACGAAAATGCTATTCATTTCGCGTGGTAAGGCCTTTTTGGATGGGGGGGGGGGGGGACTGCGGGTAGTCCCAGGTATGTGGTCAAAGCCCCAGATATCCCTGAAACGCATAGAAGCTAATTGAACATGCTGATCACGAATATCATTTTCGTAGGTGTACTGTAGGGGACTCGGCGCCATGATACCACAATTTGAAGAATGATGCTGGCAAACAGTCAAAATCAGATTTTTTTTTCAACTAAACTTCTAATGTGCTCACTTCTGACTTTACAAAATTAAGGAGACACGCGAAACAGCTCGCTTTCGTCTGCAATTTACTCAGGGGGACTTGCATTGCCGTTTGTCGCACAACACTCCTCCAGGACATTTGCCGCGGAAGTTGGAGTGGGACACTGATCTGACTCTGATGAATGACGAGCAAAGATGTGCATTACTTATTAAGTTTTCGGACGCTATGGGTATCATGAGTCACGTGAGTATATCTGTTCCAAAACACAAAATTCTCTTATAACCTATGTCGCTTCATTTTGCAGCCGTACAGGATTGTGGCTGAGCAGGGGATGATTGATCTTCTCAGTACAGCAACAAGTGTCAACAGTGTCATGGCAGCTCTTCCAGCTATCGTAAGTCTTCATTATGTTGTGTATCATTCATTATTTATTAGCTACCTCATACTTTCTTACCGTTTCCATTTTCTGCTGTGATAAATCATATCCTTTTGCTCTTATTGGATTTTAGGTGAAAATCGCTAGAGCAAAGCAAATTCTGAAAGATAATAGGTTGTCCCACAAGTCTTTTCAAATCTGAACCTTCAAACTGTTAATACCTAATTAGTGACCTACATAGGTGCATTGTGGCAGTATTTCTGATTGAATAAGCTATGTAACCACATATTTAGGAGGAAGCCAGAACCGTTTAGGCAAAGATCGAAAATTCAGCTTATTATTTTTCCTTACTTTTTGGCCTAAAAAATCAGCAAGTATATGTATAAGTATCTATGGGGGATTGCATATGCGTGAGCGAGTGGGAAAATCGCAAAATTGTTTCGAAATGAGATGCGATTATCTTGTTTCCTTGGAAGTTCGGAATCCATTTTGGCTTGAATCTCAATGCAAATCAAGCTTGTTGCAAACCTTCGAATGCCGTCTTATAGAGCTTGCCTTGATCTGCCGGATGGTGCATCGCTTAGGAATATAGGAAGAACTGACCGTTGCCGTGGGAATTACGATATGAAAAGACTTATGGGACAACCTAATAGTATTGAAACAAAAAAAAACAAAAATAAATCCTTTTACTGATTTGTTCAGCTTGTACAAGATCGGTATCTCTTTATTCGACCGACGTTTCGGCTATATCGCCTTCTTCGGGGTTTGAAAAAGTCGTGACCATGTAAACTGTCCAGCTAGCAACTTCGTCACGATCAAGCAAATTGTCCAACCTGTTAGCGAATCAAAAGAGTACAAATGCACCGCAGACAGCGCCACGAGGACGCAAATTTAAGCGTGGAGGTCACAATCTTAGCTTATGAGCCCGAAATCCTAACGCTCAAAACTTTAGAAGCGTTTTGGATCGCGACGAAAAGCCCGAAAATGAATAAAAAAGATGAGTGCTTGGCCATTACACAAGAACTGGCTCCTTACCAGAGCCTCTGTGGCTTCCCCAGTAACTACAGGCCGATACCAAGTTGGATCTGAAAGAATGGTGGTCAGTCGTTTGTATAATGTATCAGCATTGAATTGTTGACAGGGCAATGACCCTATCTTGTCATTTGTACTCTTTTGATTCGCTAGAGGTTGGACAATTCGCTTGATCGTGACGAAGTTGCTAGCTGGACAGTTTACATGGTCACGACTTTTTCAGACCCCGAAGAAGGCGATATAACCGAAACATCGGTCGAATAAAGAGATACACCAATCTTGTGCAAGCTGAACAAATTAGTGGAAGATATAGTACACACTTGTACGATGCCGAGATTAACTGATAGTCGATCCTGGATAAAAATAGATCCTATATTTTCTGAACATTGACACAAAGTTTGCTTCACTTAATGACGCAAGATAAAAAATTAAAGGCATCCAAACGTCCGAAAAATCCAAAAAATCCAAAAAATTCTTTGCTATTCATTTGTATATTTGCTTATTTGTGAAAAGCGGAAAGCATTACTTTCCATGTTTTGCTAAAGTTGAACTGGGCTGTTCCTACCTCTGTGATTTTATTGTATGAATCCTCATGAGTATAATTTTGGATTTTCAGCCTTTTGCAAGTGCTAGTTGGGAGGAGAATCGAAATTAGTTGAAAACCCGAAAAAGCCAACTTTTCGCGATTTTGAGTCCATTTTGAAATGTGTGTTTCTCGATTTTGAGAAGTGGAAAAAACAACAGATGCACACAAAAACCTCGATGCGGAAAGTGATTACCTGAGCAAATATGAAGTTCGCAGAAATTTTCTGAACTTACAAATTATTTTCTCTCAATTTTTCGCCCATTGTGATTCCCTCAAACTTTGGCTTCTAACAAGAAGTTGGGTGGATCAAACTTTGTGCGAGTACTGTCTTGTAGAGCTTCCATTCTTCTCTCGAAAGCTATCACAAAATTTATTCAAAGTAGAGACAATCTAATGCCTTTTGCTTACTTGAGGTGAATGGGATCCGCTTCACTTTGCTACATCCTGATCAATCTAAAAGAGTGTACGCCTTGAAGATTATGTGCATGTGAGTGTAGTTTACAGTAATCTTCTCAAACCAGCATGTGCAATCTTCAATCAGGGGTTGCGAAAATGGCGGCTAAATTAGTTAATCTGTTTACAGAGCAGATACATTACAAATGTATTATATTTTGAATTTCAGGTTGACTAGCATACATGGCTGTGGTCCAAACCTTGTTCCGTTCTATGGGCGCTTACTTGCCCCCTTACGTAAGTACCTACACACTGATGCAGAAAATGTATAACTTCTCACTGGAGAATGCTAAACCATTTACGATTGTTATGAAAGGTCAAAATATGAGGGGAATTACCACATCAAAAATTCTAGTTTTGGTTGATTTTTGCGAATAGAAAAGGGAACTTTCCTTTTTGCGCTTGGTTCGCACTCTGTCGGCTGTAATGAGTTCGTTTTCAATCAAATCGCTTGAACTCAAAAGACTTACTTGAAGTCACATCCTCGACAACTAATCGTTTATCAAAGCCTTGTTTTTGAAGACTCAGTCTTTTGAATGAAAATCTGAAGAGGCAAATCTCAAACGTCTTTTCCTGGACAAAGAGACGCTACAGAAATCTCAAATCAGTATCTTTTAAGAGCTCGCAGTCTCTGTAGTTTGTATGTTAGGTCGCTCCAAAAGTCTTTTCTGTTTATTCGATCTATCATGAAAACACGAGGGACAAAGACGAGCAGACGTTCAAAAAATTTTAACGCAGTTTTTCCTCCTCTTTCTAGCAGTCATGTTTTGGGTCATTTGCTCTTGTAGTTACCAGCTATAAGGTAATCCCTAAGATTTTGAACCCATGCTTTTTACCGTGAATAAGTTTGGCGATTTTTCATATCCATTTGATATCTCGAAGCGGAGAGCTCATTTGCTTTGTAAAATTAGTGTTAGATTACAATCAAGTTTTGGAAGTTTCAAATTCCGAAGATATCTTGTATTTGATGCGTTCTTGTACCACACATCCTTGCAAGAGTGAAAACTTTGGAGATGTAGGAGAGATTGATCTTTGAATGACAGTTGCCACGCGGGTTGTGTTTAGCGTGTAGTATTACCTCAAAAGTGGTAATCAACGTTTATTAGGAGCAGTACACAGTAGTTTGTTCGATACAAGAGAAGTGAGAGAGTGAAGTGCCCCAGAGATTTGTCAACTCAGTTGCTTCTCAGGAACTACTTGTGGACTAATCCTTTAAGACTTCTTAAGTAACTGGATACTTGTCGTGTGGATCTAGTCCTACTCCTAGAATACTTCTGAAGAGACTTCTCGGCACTGGAAACTACTTGTTCTCACCCCAGGAGCTAACCCCCCAACTTATGGAGAGACTTGTCGAAGACTGCTCGACCTTACTCACTGAACGGTATTTATACTCTCTGGATAAATGAACTTGTGTTAACAAGTCAATGTTGGAGTAATGATTAACTGACATGTTATCGCTTGACATGTATGTACTTGTCTGGTGAGCTGCTTCCGTTGCGGGGCACTGTTCCTGTATTAAAGTTTATAAACAAAATCAACACAAGGATAAACATAAACATAAACATAAACAGAACATCAACAAAACATCATAGTATGAATTGGAGGTCGCCTTTGGCGACACTCCCGCCGCGTGTTCTTCAGTTCAGTGACGTGGTCCTCCTCCGATGCTGGCAAGTTCCCATCTTACATAGGCATAGCGTTCCCTTAGCTGGCTCAGCCATCTCCTCACTGTGTCTTTATCGTCCGGCACCGTGCAGATTGCCTTATGGTGGATGCCCTTGGGGATGAGGTCTTCTACTATAGTTCCCTTTATTTTCCCACAGTAGAAGCATGGCCTTGGCTCAAAGCGACATTGCTCTTCGGGGCAGTCTTCAAGGCACAGGTGGCAAAGCTCGTCTCTTCTTATCAGCTCGTATCTGGCACTTGCATGCTTGACTCTTGGGCAGGAGTCTGAGTAATGGTGATCACGCATCCTGCAGAAAGCACATTGAACTTGTACGTGCGTTCCTCTCACTGCTTGTCCGAACTGGCGGTGTGGAAAGACTTGTAGTATCCTTTCCATCTGGCTGATTTCTTCGGCCAACTTGTGGCATTCCATTTCTCTTCTCTGTACTTGTTCTTCATCCGCTTTCCTTTCAGCATCAGTTCGTCCTCTGGTTTCTTGCACGAGTTTGCGAAAGTATCCATTGTCATCTAAGGGTGCTTCTTCGGAATCGCTGCCTGCCTCATCCATCACGACGAGTTCGTTGACTTCCATTTCGCTATCATCAAAAAGATTTGGCGGCTCTGAATCTTCTTCAGTCTTGTCCGACGATCTTCCGTTCGTCTGCGTTCCGGCTTCTTCCATGGTGGGACTTGCTTGACATCCCTTTTCGCCTGTTTCCACGCGCCTTTCCATACTTGTATTTGCCATCTTCGCTTTCAGCACGAACAGTTCCTCGTCTTGTCTCTTCAACTTGTGTTCCAGATTTCTTATGATCCTTCTTTCCTTATCGCTGCTTCGGCTCCTTTCCAGACGAGCGTTTCTGTCCATCTCCTGTTGTCGTTTGTCAAGCTTCTTGATCAAGCACTCCATCTGCTTCGTGTGGTAGTCCATCTCCAGGACCATGGCGTCGTTGTACTCCCGTGGACATGGTCTTGAGCTGTCTGAACTTGTGCTTGGAGGGAAGTGCAAGTCGTAGTACTTGTATAGGAAGGCATAGATGAGATGCGCTGAGATGTAGTCGGTTGGCAATCGTCTTCTGCTCTATGGGATCTTCTTGAAGGTTTAGTTCTTCTTTCAGATGATTGTAGTCGTTTTTGATCGCAAGCGTTGCCTCCACTTGTCTTCCCATGGCTTCCTCTGTGAGCTTTAGATGTTCTTCGATGGAAGTCCTTGTGTTATCCTTCATTATGATCGTGAGGCACTGGATTTCCTTGTGAAGATTCGCGAATGCCATCCTGAAATCAAAGTTTTTGAATCTTATGCATCTTCCACTTGTGGTGATGAATTTTATCTTGCTACAATTGATTCTGTCGTTTTTGATTTTAGTTAAAATCAGTGTATGGTTTTCATCGAGATATGGAAATGCTGAGGAAGTCCAATCTGATAACTGGGCCTGTTGCGAAAGTCCGCATAAGCTTAGGATAGCAATGACTAAGGTGGCTGTAGGTAATAGATGAACGTATGAAACATTCTTGCTTCCTTCGCTGTACTCAATTGTTTTTCGTGATCTCATATTGTATCGCTTGCACGGTCCATCCGAGGAGTCGTTTTCACTTGTTCTTTTCACAGTTCTGTCTTCTAACTCGAGAGGCACCAAAAGGTTTACTGGTCTGCGTACTTGTTTCCTGGACGGCAGAATCACAACAGCCTCTCTTATTTCACCATCTTCGCTTTTCACAAGCTTTGTTATACGGCCCATTCTCCAAGAATGTCTGGGCTGCACGGCGTCCATAATGAGAACACAGTCGTCAACGCGAGGAAGCGCTTTGGATTTGTTGTGTCCCACTTCCAACTTGTGTTTCTCTCGCAGAGCTGTGAGGTATTCTGTCTTCCAAACTTTCCAGAACTTGTCGGTAGATTTGCAAGAGCTTTCCAGGGCTTGAATAGTTTGTAACTTTGTGCTAAGTACCATTTGTTCTTCGGATGGCAGATATGGCGGGTCTTCTGCATTTGATATAGATGTTTCGATTGGATAATTGAGATTGATCTCATTCTGCACGAAATCAATGGGTCTGATGATGGTTTCGTTGCACGAATCTGAGCTCATGTAAACTAGAGGCCTTGTGTTGAGTAGAGCTTCTATATCAACAAGTGTAGTTGACATTTCTTCAAACGTGTATGTTGATCCTTTCAAAGTCTTGTACAGTGCTTGTTTTACTGATCTTATCAGCCTCTCATAGAATCCTCCCTGCCATGGTGCAAATGGTGTTATGTGCTTCCATACAATTTCGCGATCGCTTATATCCCTGGTAACTGCTACCTCGTGCTCCAGATTTTTGATACCGCTATCTGCCAAGATTTCTTCTCCCAAGAGAAATGTAGGAGCATTGTCACTTGTGATAGATTTTGGAACTCCTCTTCTTCCAAAAAACCTTCGAAGCATGTTGAGGAATGCTATGGTGGAAAGGTCTGTTACTACGTCTAGGTAGATAAGCCTAGTCACCATGCAAGTGATAATCGCTCCGTAGCATTTACTTGTGCCGCCTTCGCTAGTTTTTACTGTCAGTGGGCCGAAGTAGTCCAATCCGACGTGTTGAAAAGGACACGTCTGCTGTACCCTTACTTGTGGCAAGTCACTCTGATTGGGGTACTTGTACGGTCGATTGTTGAAGCGCTGGCATTCTACACATCTTCGGATGATACGAGTAACTTGTGCGCGTAATTTTGGTATCCAAAATTTATGGCGAACAAGTGCGATTGTATGGCCTATGCCAGGGTGTCCTCTACAGTGATATTCCCGAATTATCGCTTCCGATAGCCAAGAATTTTGGAGAACGATGTAAGGGAATTTTGCTGTGTCATGCAAACAGCTTTTTCCTATTCGTCCGTGGCATCTCATGAGACCTTCTTTGTCCGGTTTTATATTGAGTTGCGTTAACGATTTCAATACTGCTGCTGTACAAAATGTTCTTTGATGGACTTGTATAACAATCTTCCCCGCTATTGCAATTTCTTCTCCATCAAGGTACACATTGTAGCGTCCATTGTACTTTCCAAGCAATGGAGGAAGACGGATGTTGCTCTGTGGTCGTTGATTGACTCTTTTGACTACAATCTTTATGAAGCGTAACATTCTTGCTGTGATCCTTTTGATCGTAGAGAATGGGTGGCCTCTTAAGTCTTCAAAGATGTCAGAGTGTTGCGGATCGACTGCCACTGACACGGCTTGGTTGACGAGTGCCAATTCAGCTGGCAAACTTATGTCGCCGGTCTCCTCAGTCATTTGAAATAACTTGTAATTTGCTAGCCAGGCTTCCGGTGAATCTCTCAAGAAGGGTGGTCCTGTCCACCAGAAGTGGTCCTTGAGTTGTCCTTTACTCAATCCTCTTGTTCCGCAATCTGCTGGGTTCTGTTCAGTAGGAACATAGCCGTAGTAGATCCTAAGACCTTTACTTGTTAGATGATCGTCTATCTCTGTAATCTCTTTCAGTCTATTAAGAATCATCACTCCTGCATCCTTGAGTGGTTTTTTCTTTATCCAGTTGTAAACGATTTCGGAGTCGGAAAAGAGATATACCTTCTCGATTGCGGTAATAACTTGAAGTTGAGTCACAACCGAATTTATCACTCTCATGGCTAAGGTGACGGCATTTAGCTCCTTTTTTGGTACTGTAGCCTCGTATTTAATCGATGGTAGTTTTCCTTTCGCCAACAAGAGACTGGTTGCAGTTTCTGACTTTAGATAGACGCACATGGCTATAGCTTCAGCACTGGCATCAGCAAATGCAGCTAGTTCTACTTTTGCATGCTTCCTGGTCAAAAATCTTGGTATTTCCTTGCTGAATCCTCGCATACTGTCGCATATTTGTTGCCATTTATGTGCACGGTCTCTATCTAACTTGGTATCCCAGTCAATCTTGTCTTTCCAAAGTGACTGAAGAAAGACTTTTGACTTGTGGATCAATGGGAGCATCCAACCCATAGGGTCATAAATAGACGCTATTGCGCTAGTGACTGTCCGTTTGGTAAGCACTTTTGGTGCGATCATGTTGCATGAGACTTCAAGTCGGTCCGTCAAGGAGTTCCAGCGTATTCCCAAAACCTTTGGCGATAGTTCCGACGATCTATCTCTACTTGCAATTCTATTCATCACTTGTTCTTCATTGCTTACAAATTCGCGTAGATTCATGCTGAGTTCTTCGAACATCTGCTTCATTTTCCGGTAACAAGTTGAGGCTTCTTCAACTGTATCTAATGTCACTACCAGGTTATCTACATAAAGATTGTCTTTGATTTCGTCTATCATCTTGTAGCTATCTTTGTATTGATCCAGGTGGTAGTGTGTGGTTGCCGCCAGAAGAAAGGGAGAAGCGTTTAGTCCAAATGGAACTCTTGTAAATCTCAGCATGATGATGTTGCCTTGTGCGGGAGGTGCTGTATAATCTCGGAGCCACAGGCATCTAGTGGCATCGCGATCTTCCTCATGCAATCTTACTTGAAGAAACGCCTTCTCGACATCGGATATCATGGCAATACGTCCGATTCGAAAACGTAACAGTATTCCAAACAATTGCGGCAAGATGACTGGGCCTCTATGTAAGGCATCGTTGAGTGAAAGACTGTTTCTGTAGTGTGCAGAAGCATCGTAAACGACTCTTAATTTTGTGGTCGTCTTCTGTGGAGTAATAACAGCTTGATGAGGCAAAAAGTGTACGTGTTTGCGGTTTTCCTTGTCCTGAGGAACGTATTCAAGGATGTTGCGATTCAGCTGCTCTTGAAACACCTCATTATACCGATCTAGGAGATTTGGGTCTTTCTGAAGACTGTTCCACAAGCTAATAAGTCTTCGTTGAGCTATAGCTTTGTTATCAGGTAGCTCCATGGCGTTCTCTTTCCAAGGTAGACGGACATAGTATCCATCTTCGCGCTTTTCTATCGTCTCTCTGAAATGTTGCAGGACAGCTTTATCTGCTCGAGTTCGCTCGATGTCCTCTGAATGGCAGAATCTTTCTGTACCGGCCGCCTCTAAAGACCAGAACTTCTCCCATTTTTCTTGTTCATGGTCATCATCATTAATGTTTGAAATGGTGTTTACTTGTGTCTCTAAGGTCCAGTAACCGTCCCACTTGTCTGACTCCTCTGTGCCTGAAATTTTCGATGTTTTGACTTGTCCTGATATCAGATATCCCAGTCGTGACTCGATTAAGTGAAGACCGGAGGGTAGGTTGATATGGGGTTTATCTTCTTTGATGAAAGACCATAACTTGTCACACCCCAACAGGATTTGTGGCTTCATATACTTCTTGCTTTCGAGCATTTCAAGTGGGATATGCTTCTCGCGCAAGTGGGCGATATCTTCGTCGATTAGCGAAGGACTTTCGAAGGATTTGGATATCACATCGTACGTGAAGAGCTCCAATGTGATTTGCTCTCCGTCTAGGTCCCAGGCTTCAAGTTCTACTTTACGACACAGATTCTCTTTGACTTGTTCTGATCCGAACGTTCTCAGGCGTAGTCTGGTCGACCCCAGTGTTCGCAGATGCAATTCTTCAGCGAGTTTACTGTCAATGAAGGATAATTCTGCGCCTGTGTCTAACAAGACAGCGATTCTGCGTAAATTTTTCGTTTTTGGATCTACTACTTGGATTACACCTGTTGGTAAGTACGTGTCGTTCGCTCCGTCTGCTTCTTTTGTTGTTTGAAGTTCACAGATCGCCACATCACCCTCTTCCTCAACCTGCCTTATTACTTGATGTACGTTTGAGGACGCCAATGGAGTAGACTTGTGTTGGCGGCCCTGGAAGCCCTTCGTTTCTTTTTGTGTTACCTCCTTCTGTTGTCGGGTCGATACCGTTTGGTTTCTCCCCACTTGTGCGCCTTTAAAACAG